AATCCATGCGACTGCAATTTTTGCCTACATAGGGGTTTTGAGATGTTTCGAAGATAAGATCAGTGTATATATACAGATGTATACAGTGTTTTCAAAGTATATAGATGGCACAACCCCCAAGGTGACTTGTCGATCAGGGTCCATATAAACCACCAAACTTGAAGAATGGGCATGATGTGCTTCCGGCATGTCGGAACACGGTCCACTGGTGGAGCCCATCGTCCGGACCGACGTCTTGTGGAGCCCAAACCTTCCAGTCGCCGATGCGGCAGGTAATTTGGATCCGGTGCCCCGCGTGAAAGCCGCTGGTGGGACCACACTGGTGTTGTATTTCGATGCGCCTCGCTGCGGAGGACGGAGCGACGGGGTGTTGGTCTCCGGCTGGCGACCGGTGGATGGGTGCTGGACCGTGAGGATGGGGGGGTTGGGTGCGGAAGCTGGGGGCCAGGTTTCACCAGCCAAGCGCTATTTGAGGTGACCAGAGCCAACGGAATCATCAGTTGAGTGGAACCTGGCGATATAGGAATAGACCCAAAACGTGAGAAAGGAGCCACACATGGGAACACAGCCGCTAAGCCAGCCTCATGAACCATGCAGTGCTTTTCAGAAACCGGGCACGCAGACCAAACCACACCGGAGCCAGACCGGAAGAGAAAGAGGAATCATCGAGGGTTTGATATCCGCACCGGTAGCCACTTGACCTGTAATGGTCACCCAAAGGTGCCAGGACCACCGGGTGCTTATGGATGCTTATAGTATCTTATAGTATTCTTTACGTTTTCCGTGCGGAGCTGCATTGTTCATGGAGTATGCCTTGTAGGTGGGGAGAAGATCAAAAGGGATCAAAAAGGTTTACTGTACGGGATGCAGACTCTGTTCCCTGTTTGAACTGATCACTGATCACAACTGCGTTTGCCGAGTCTCACGAATCCTTTGAGGGTAACAGGCAGACAACTCCTTCTCGTTCTTGATCTACTGTATCTTTGTCCCCTTGCAGTGTCGAAAGCCGAAACCTATGCAGCGGACAACGCCAGCCTTAAGGAACTCTTTGGCTCAGAGTCTTTGCCTTTGCCTCAGAGTCTTTTGGATTTGCTCTCGTCACTTGGATGGAGGTGTCGGCTGGGCTGAAGGCTTGTCACCTTTGCCCATACAGTATCCGAAATTCCCCAGGTTTGTGGCTTCGCATATGCTCGTATGGACCATGATGAGAGCACGGGCATGAGCGAGCACACACATAGACAGAGCACGCCTGTGAAGGACCACACACAACATGAGAGCACACAAATGTGAACAAACACACGAGACCATGCTAATTTGCGGTGGCGTGTTGGGTAAAGATGGAGAAGGAAGCCCTGTGCGTTGCCAATGAGTTTGAATTGGTGGAACGAGGAAACTGGTCCAACAAAAGATCGAGGTCCAGGTGGAAATCATTCCAAGCTTTCTGTTATTACTTGGACCTTTCTTCCTAGCAGCATTTTGCCAAATGCCTTCCCACCTGCAGTCTCGATCTCTCCCTGTCTTTTTCCAAGGCTAGGTTCACCTGACCTGGAGCAGATGACGTCCTTGCGCTCAAGCATCTCACAGTTGAGTCTGACTTGCGATGCCTGGTTTGGTGTATGTGCTTTCTTCTCTTCATCTGATGGGTCAATCCATGTAAATCACCTTCTGCCAGCACCCTCAGTTCCAGGTGGGGAAGATGGGGAACCATCAGTTCCCAGGTTCCCATTCTGCCCATCCCAGGATGAGTTCGAGTCCCGCCCCGATTGTGCAGCGCCATGTCGGAATTTGAAGGTAGCTTATGCCAAGTCCAAGCATCCGTCGCCTGGAGGAAGTGTGACAGAGACAGAGACGACTCATAGAGACTGGTGAGATGGATGACCAGGTTGGAGGAGTCTAGACATGGGGCTGTTTCTTTTTGTGTTTTTTGTGTCCTGATCGTTTTTAAACTTTATGCTCAAATCCGAACTGCATAGAAGAATGACCTGGGAAAGGGTCCTAGGGCGTTGTTAGGGCCATGCAGACGGAACCGTTCCATTCATCCTTTCCCTCATATATGTTGTATGCGGTTATTTGCTATACAGGGGCCCGGGTAGTTGGCATGTTTGAAGCTACAAGAGTCTGGGGTCAACAAAAACTCTATAGACATATATATATAGTTATATATAAATGCATTTACATAGTCATGTCTTCCAAATAATTACAGTTCCTCCTGGACACCAGTCCCCAAACTGATAGCCTCGGTTGCCTCTCTCCCCGCGAAGAAATCCTGAGAACTGTGACAGTGATATATGATAAATGGTTGTTCCGATTCCAATATCTTGATGGAGGTCCTTCACATAGGGAGTGACCCCGGGACTGAGGAAACATTTATTTGTTTCTGGTTCTTGTGACCCGCGAGACGGGGGGTTCTCAGGGAAGGTACCAGGTATCGTAGCAGTATCATTGGTATCGCAACACGATCATCGGTGTCACAGCGTCATCGCAGTTGGCCTCCGTCTGGTGACCTGGTGGATCACATTTTACATGCTATAGGCTTCGTGTGTCGGCACGACTTCTTGTTTCAACGTCGGACTGCCGTGATCAGAGCCGTGTACCGAACCCAGCGAACGGCCTCAGTGCACCGTCCCAATGTTTCAAGCAGCCGTTGTGGTCGCTGTGAAAAAGACACCAACCACGCGACTCACCGCGGACCTCATGTCGGACACCCTCAGAATACACGGCGTTTAACAGTGTAAAACGCGCCAACTCATGTTTCCATGGCGAAAGCTTCGAGTACATCCACATGCTTCTGTCGCACATGCCCGAGAATCATAGCATTACAATTACAAGCAGTTAATACATGCCTCACATAAAGCTCATCATTGAGAGCCTTGCTAAGACTCAACAGGTGCGAACATGTTTGAAATTTGCTCGCACAACTTGATGCGTAAGATGGCCATTCAAACATCAGTGTGCAAACCTTCTCACCAGTGGCCCTGCGAACATAAACTATGCAAACTGAGCGCAACCCTTCGAAGGAAGTGGATACAGAAAACTCTCCAGAAGATCCAGACCAACTAGCACACCGTTCCCATGCCCTCCACACTCTTCTCATGCCTTCAACGCATGTATGGCGTATGGCGTATATGTCTTTCTGTTTTTTCTTAAAGCTGCGCAACTCTCGCTTCCCGAGGCAACCCTCGGCGCCGCGCGAGGTGTCTCCAGAGGATTTGCCAGAGATCTACCAGCTGGAAGAACTCCTTTGCGCCACGATGCTGGGCTTTGTTGAGTCGGCGAACAGGTGTTTGGGGGGTCACCCTCGGTGTTTTTGCACGGCAGAGAAGCAAATGGGAATTGAGGCATGCTTCAAGGCATGCAGGACTGGTTTGGTAAATGTTCAGGTTCTTGTGCTGACAAGCTGGATTTGTGCGAAATAATTTCATTTTGCATTGAATATTCGATGCAGCCTTACTCACTCGAACATACTGAACTGGTGGTTTCGAATGCGTGAGTGGTTTGTCGATTTGCGTCAGTGCGGTGTCCAATTTGATTGGGAACCTTAGCAACAAACTAATAAATATACCGTCAGGGCCCCCCCTTAAACTCAAGCAATTGAGTCTTTGAGGAAGACTGAACCATTGCATACAGTTGCCCTGTCATTGATCCAACCACCGAATATCGGATCATCAAATCTTATTCAGCTAGCCTCCATGACTCAAATGACCGTGTTCGTTCGCACCCCTGAAAACATCGTCACTTCCAGACCTTTGGAAGTAAGATGAGGAAGTTGCAAGTGGCGATAGCGGCCCTAGCCGGCCATATAGGGAAAAACATGGAAAAGCTAAAAAAGGGCTGATCCCGAAGAGGGGAGGAATTGATGTTGAAAGCTGTATCCTTGGGCTTCGTCCACTAGTCCGCCGGCGAGGAACCCCACACACGTGAACACCTTCCTTCTGCAGAAGCGTTGGGGCAGCGGTTTTCTCCAGGGATGCGTGGATGGGGCCGCGAGCTTCTTCCCGCGGCCGTGAGTGCGCCAAAAAAGGGCGTCATCGGACTCAGGGGCTTTGGAACCGCGGGTCTTTAGTCCCAACAGAGGTGGAGAGTGACCCGAACTATGACCCGGAAAACTTGGGGTACTCATAGGATAGTCTCTATAGGGTTCTTCAACCTCTGCTGGTCTGGAGCAGTCACCCCGGCGATTTCAGTGGGTGGGAACCAGCACCAACCTCTGTGAGGTGTGCGTTTGTCAGATGTTGAGAACTTGGGATGGGAAGATGTGGTGCGCTTCCTGATGCTTCTTCGGTTCCGATGTAAACTACAAAACACAACCACACGGGAGGAAGGGGGGTTTCGAAGTATGTCGAGGCTCCCTGCATTTCTGCACCAGGGCTTTTGAGGACGGTGCGTTAGGCTCAGCTCTTCAATGGTCAGACTTCCAAGGAGTGTACAGCAATGTGCAGCATGCAGATCAAGCAGATGATTTGGGAGTTGTGAAAGGTGAACGACGGGAAAGGGTGCACAAGGAGTCACTTCGAATGGATCCTTCGAGGATTTTGTGTGACAAAACCCAGACACTCCATGTATGCCATATATGCCTACATTGGGGTGGTTTGAGGGGTCAATGGGGCGGCATATATGGCAGTCCCATGGAGTGTCTGGGAAAAGTTTGGCACATGCTAGGGCTGCTAGGGGTGGTTGACGTCTTTCAATTCACAAGACGGGCCACATCTCTACACTGGCCAGCGCAGGGCGGTTTCGAAATCAGATTAGCCAGGTCGGTGCTCCAACCGGCAACCTCACGTCCTCTTCAGACATGAAGCGGAAGTTCGGAAGGAAGTGAGACTTGAGCATCCCTAAAGACCTAGGCATGGTGAATGTCCCATGTGAATTCCTGCTTCCCAAGTGAGAAACATGAGAGCGCAGACAATTACTGGAAGGACACAATTGCTCCACCTACCGAGCTTCTGGACCAATTCGTCTCCCCAAAATCGTCTCTCCGGCAGTGAACAGTTCACGCTGAGGGTGTGATCATGGAGACCTTCCACTTGCAATTCCTCAAGGCGGCTGGACGTGATCGGTCCAGTGCCGGTCCAGGACAATCCCCTTCCCACAGGCACCTCCATGTATCGATTCAAACACCTGGAGTCGACTTCAAGTACCTTCAAAAATGGGACATGACCCCAAACAAACAGGTACTTGTGCCCATTTTCCGAGGTACTTTCAGACTCCAGGTAGTTACATGGATGATCATGGACGGGCCATTGTCGTAAATGTAACATGTAACTATTCCAGCCCCATGGATGGTTTGGGAATGTATCATGCTTGGGGAAGGTGGAGCATTCCGCCGGGACACATCATGTCAGAGTTTGCTGCTGCTTCCCCCCCTTCACATTCTTTATGGAGAATACCATACCCAGTGCATCCCAGGTACTATATAAGGAACTAGGGATTCTAGCTCTATAGTGTTAGTTTTTGGAACCACTGGTTACCAGCGAGCTCTCGTGGTAACTGAACGCCCTGGGATAGGACACCCTAACATGTGATCATGTTTGTTAATCTCCACCCTCCAGGTGTTGGGTAGGACACTGACAAACTACCAAGCGCTTTTGTCCTCCACCAATCCATTTCAGAATGCCGACAGGTGGTGAAGCTCATACAAAGTGCCACTCTTCAATGGGGTTTTCAGGGCCATGTTTTTTACTGTCACTTTGGACCTTTGGGTTGTATGATTAATTATTAAGATCATATTTACCAATGGGTGTCCAATAGACTACCCTACCCTACTTACAGGTCTCCATTGGGCACCCGTTGGAAGTGCTATATAGGGATAAGTATTTATAAATGCATGATCAATGCAGAATCCTGCATTTCGAGATGCACCATCCACAATTTGATGGCAAAGCGCCCGCTCGCCGCCCATTTGAAGAACACCCCACAGGGCAGCCGCAGGCCGAGAGGATCCGTGTTTCTTGAGAAACATCCTCTCCTTCGCCTTCCGTTCGACCATTGAAAAGAAAGGTTGACCCATGGTTGACCTGGGCTTTGCAAGTCTCCAATCCTTAGTTTAAACAATGGTGGGCCAGCAATCGCAGGGTCAGTTGAGCTTTCACCACCTCTTCTTGGGCCATTTAGGTAGCCATCATTGTGGCCCTGCCCTTGGTGGAATTCCTGTCGGTCAGCTTTGCGTGGGAACTCTTCAAAGAACACGCCACTGGGCCTCACTGGAGCGAACGAACGCGGGGGGTGGCGAGAAGCTCGCGCCCACAGTACGGTCGAACTCGCCGGCGTTCCAAAGGGGACTGGATAGGACATAGGATCCTTACATCACCTACAGTGGTTTCAGAAGTTCGATGGCACAAAGTCTTTTAGATGTCTGACATAGATGGGGTCCATATAAACCACCAAACTTTGGGCCCAGGCGTGCCATGAATCGAACCTCTGAAACCATTGTACAAAGTCATGCAACATCCTCACAACTCCCGCATGTCTTTTTGGGCGACTTGTGACTGCTGGAAGGTGAACTTCCAGGGAACCCCTGGGTCGGGAGTCAGGCCAACGCCAGCAGACATCCGCAGCAGGCACCCGTCCTTCCAGGTAGGTAGATATGCCAGTCCAATGGAGTGTTCGGGGATATGATTGTTGACTGTTGATTCTAGCTAGGTGCCTTGCGACCTATAGATGGTCGTTTGCATGTATTTCAATGGGAGGCTTTATGAATCAAGAGTCAACATGAGTCAACATACCAGTTTGGGGTCACCTGGAAGCCCCAGCCCAGTACTAGACTGGATCTCCGGCCAGGGCACCGCTTGAAAGGTCGAGGAGGATGATGGTCTTGAGTTGTCCAATCCAACTCGGGCACTGCGGAGGTTCCCATCGGAAGTGAGAAGACCATGACTCGATGCCCCATGACCCCATGGAAAAAAACCAAACAGGGTACACCCCCTGGAACTCACATAGGCCAACGTGGATGGCATGCATGGCCCCGATATTGGTCATCCGAAGGCCAAACAGTGGAGTGAACTCCAACTTCCATGTGAGCCCCCCGAGGGATCCAAGTACCTTCTCAGGAGGTGATTGGAGACACTCTTATGTAGGTTTTGAGGGTCCAAGTACCTTCTCAGAAGGTACTTGGATCCCTAGGGTTCCAGGGAGTGTGTCCATTTTCTAAGCTATGAAGATTATGAAGTCTGAGGCCCGCCCTCACTCCCGCACGGTGGCCGATCGTCTTCCGGTCCTCCGATTCCACGCCTTCGGCACACCTTCGGCTGTTTAGAGGTGATTCGGAGTGTTCCAAATCCACCTGGCTTGGAAGGTCCTGGTAGCCCAAGAGGTATCAGAAGAGGTCACCAATTTCAGACTTTGACACCTTCAGGGTCCAACTCTCTTGAAATCCTCACCTCGAGGTGCTGAGACGTTCCAAACTACTGATTGTCAGTCCATCCTGCGCTTCCGATGGATTGTTCTACGAAGATCCAGCTTGGTACTATTTTCAGACCTCTTCTCTGGGGGAAGGCATCTCGGGGTTCCGAACGCACATCAAGACTCACAAGCAATATCCGGTTTGAAACTGCGATTTCTAACATCAGAACCAAGCTTGTCACCGGTGCTTCCTCCAGTCCCATGTCTTTGAACATTGAACTCCCAACATTCAGAAGCACCAATGACATCCGACCCTCAACTAGCCGCCATTCCAAAAGAACACTGAACTGTTTCACTGCAGAAACCCTTTGATCTGCTCCCAGGAACGTGCCGGAGGCCTCTTCAAACCCTTCTTCAGCGACGGCAGTGAGCCGCCCAAGCAGATCTATGGGGCGGTGCCTGGGAGAACGGCGCTGCCGCGCCGACACGCGGGGAGGGTGTCAAGGGCTCGGAATGGAACGAAGCAACAGACGCCCAGTTCCGACATCCACCTAGCACTGACTTCCTGTCCCCGGTGCCCTGGAGGTCTGGAGGTCTGGTTGACGGATAGGGAGGATAGGGTAGTCGGTCTCGCCAGGACACCCATGTCCAGGATGATCCTGGCAAATGGATACCAAAAAATAGATTCCCCCACTCCAAACTGTGTATTGGACACATCGCGTTTTCGATCAATGAGGAAGCGACAGTTACACTTGCCCCGCCCCGATTCGTCGCGTCTTTACACGTTTGTTTGTCTCGGCAGCCTGGGCGGATGAAGCCTCATCTCTCCTCGGTGGCGGTGTCCGTTACGTGCGGGCCGGGCACCTCATGCAGCGTCACTCTTCCAATCCCAAGGGGGGCATGGGTCTCAGATGGTTAGTCATGGCACCTGGAGCCCATTTCACTGGTAGATGGACCATGTTTGGTACACTCCCGAAAACTACAACATGGAACCTGAAAAATGAACTATGTTCCTCTACTTTGGAAAACTATTTTCCTCTACAACCTAGTATACCTAGTGGTTTTCAGGTTCCATGTTAATCTTCCCCAGTGTCTATTGAGTCTATTCTGTTCTCATGCAGAGCTCAACCAGAGCCAATTGGTGCCGACCACTGGGGGTGGTCTTGGTGGTCGGACGTTCTGGTTTTTGGAGCTGGTTCAGGGGGAGGGTTGAGATCATGTGGATCTTTGTGAAGCTGGAACTGTGGAGAGGAAGGTCAGGGGTTTTGAGGTTGCTTGAAGGTTTTTGGTGCAGGTTCAGAGGCCTTCCGCGACTGAGCAGCTGCATCAAACCACCAAGTGTGAGGTCCTGGAGTCACACTGGGGTGCCGAACTTGGAGGATAGGGGTTCCCAGCTACTCCACTCACTTAGGGACTAAGAACCACCCCTCTGTGACTCCTGGTATGCTCTCTCTTTGTGCTGTGTTCGAAACCGGCTGTCTCAAAACCTGTTTCGCCACTCTCACTGTTTGGCCAAACAGGAACGACCAAGAGTACGAGTTTAACCACCTCACATAATCAAGAGACTGCAGCTTAGACTTTCATGATTTTCCTCCATCCATGTCTCGATCACAAACTACACCTGGATTCAGCACTCGCACACGTGTTGCTCTAAAGCTGCTCCCGCCATTTTAGTCCGGAGCATAAATGAACATGGTCAGTGCACGAACGGAATTGGGTCCAAGACCAAGGAGACGCTTCATACTGCGCTTCATTTGTCATTGTTTCACCAGAGCATATCACAGAAGAGGCCTATATTTTGTGGAATTCTTCAATCTTCCAGACATTCACAAGACTGTCCTCGGATGGCAGTCCATCGTTACAGCTTCAGCTTAAGCTGCGCTCGCCTAGCTGTGCTGTCACTGAGGACGGGATGTCCGGTTTGGGCCCGAAGCAGTACGATGGTGCTTCGCAGTATGGTACTTCGCAGCGCGACAAGATGACACCCTTTCACACCGGCTACATCCCGCAGGACTGGAGAGAGAGAGAGAGCTTGGAGAAACGGTGTGGACCTTCTATTGCACCATCTATAGTACCCAGACACTCCATGCCTTTATGTTATTGGGGGTGGTTGCAGGGGTGGTGAATGTATAGTGGTATATGCCATACATGGAGTGTTTGGGGTCTGATAACTTGCTGGAGAAGCTGATGCCAACAAACACTGCCAACATTGGGCCTTTGTGTCCTTACACCTCTTCGGATTTTTTCTTGGTCGAGTCAATGAATTGGTTTAAGGGTAGATCTGCAGCCACCCCATGTGTTTACCCCAAAATGTTGGTTATATACTTGGGCCTTCAAGGGGTGTCCAATGGAGGGGTGGGACCCGAATCCTTTGGGGAGGGGTCAGGGCTCTCAAATCCCCAGGTTTTGAGGGACCAAGGGCTGTTTGGAGCGTCTGGGTACTGTAGATTTTCCCTTAAAACATCCTTTAAACACATTCCGGGACTTGGGCGTCTCAGATGGCACAGCTTTAGTATACCTGGCCGAAGCCCCTTGGGAGTCGTCAAATCGTCAGGCTTGATCCATGATCCATGATGAGGGTCACAGGACTCGGAGTCGAAAAATTTTTACAGTGGTTTCAGAGGTTCGATGGCACGCCTGGGCCCCCAAGTTTGGTGGCTTTATATGGACCCCATCTGAAGGACATCAAAGTACCTTAGAAAATGGGACATGACCCTACAAAAACAGGTACTTGTATCCATTTTCCGAGGTACGAACTGAGACTCCAGGTATTTAGTTTGTGCAGCCCCATTCGGCCACTGTGCTTTGGGTGCGGTGTTGCATGAAGGGCCAAACGAACGGTGCGTTTGCGCGATGGGGACAATTCCATCAAGAACCTACTGGGCATCAGTGCAGGGTTTAGCTTGGTATGGTAGTTTGCTCTAAATATTCTTACGCCAATCACGAAGCTTTTGAACCATGTTGTCATTCCCTTTGCAAACAGTGCTTTGCCCCTAGGGCTCCTGGCCCACATCCAAAAGATCGGTTTGAGAGGATTTCATCTTAAGGCTGAACAGGCTTGAAACATGTTGAAATGAAAGGGAAGGTTTCACATTCTAATGCGTCATGTAGACTGTGATATATATGCTCTTGGGACTTGGAATGATGGGAAGCCACACTGAGGAGATGCACAACCCCACCGACACGGTTCGGGATGCCCAGAGATGAAAACGGGCTCGGGCGGGTTTCCCCGGTTTGGGCGGGGTGAAGGTTCCACGGGGTTCGGTCATGCAGCTCAGGCCTATACTATTGAACCCTAGGGCTCCTGGCCCACCTCCTGAGAAGATGCTTGGGGTGGGTTTGGAGGCTCTAAACACCTTCTGAGGATATGGGCCAGGAGCCTGGAGCCCGTAAAAAGAAAGGTCGACCTTTAGGAGTCACGTTCGACGGGGTGCGATCCATGGAGGTAGTCGGGGTGCCCCTGTCACATCCACTCACTGGATGGGACCAAACACCACCCCGTCTTGTGACTCCTGGCTGGTATTGTAGCCTAAAGCATTCTAAAACCCTTTAGTAGAACCATTAAGGCAATGGTGTTTGGACCATTAAGACCATGACGGTTGGAATTGCAGGGTAGGCTCTTGACATCTTAGGGTAGACTCTTGACATCTCTTGACTCTATTTCAACCTCCCATAGGAAGAGGCATTTTTTACATCCATGTCTGGGGGTGTCTTATGAATCAAGCACTTTTGCGAGGTCAATGATGCTAGTCCCATGAAGTATTATGGGAGTCTTTGGGCATTTGTTTCTTCCGATGTTTTGCCATGGAAGTGTTGATTGACCATGGTTGGATTGATTTTTGGAGGACACCGGCGTGAGCCACACCGTGAGGGTGTGCTTACGATGCATTGCCCACATGCTAGATTCGTCGGTGACTGTGGGGGGTCCTCAACTTCGATGAGCTTGTGGAGGTTTGCCGTGTTTCCACAGCTTTGCTTCTATTTCCTGAGGAACTGACCAATGTCCAATATTTGTCATGCCTCCTACCTTCAGTTCACAAGTGGGGCACTACCAAGTCCCATTGCACAACTGCTCAGGGCTCCTACCTGGCAGTGTTTGGACATCACAATCCTCCCTCACACTGTTTGACTCAAAGGCGTTGATAAACTATATCGACTAGACTTTGACTTTGGCAGTGTCTGACTCACGTTCCATGGAAGTGGAAAGCCGTAGAAAACCACCTGTTGGTAGAGGAGCATGGTCTTCCTGGTGGCCTAGCTCTTCCATGTTCTAGGTCAGTGAGTCGGAGTGTACCTCACGGGAGGGTACCAAGGGATTTGGTGTTTCTTGGGACCTTTCTGAGCACCTGGAACGCGCACCCGCTGTGTCAGGCCAGTCGCAAGCAGAACTTTGCATGCTGCTGAGGTGCAGGAGACACTGGAAGACATGACACGGTACTCCTTAGTGGATTGAGAGTAGATGGCACAGACCCCAAGAGGTGGTTTATATGAACCCCCATGTAAAGGACATTTTGAGGTCAGTGCCATCTACTCTGAAACCACTGTACCGGATCATTCTGGCAGAAGACAACGTGTTCACTTTTTCGCAGAAATTTGCCAACCCTGTCTTGGGCGAACGAGTTTGGTTCCGGCATCCGGCGTCCGATGACTCCGGGATGACCTTGTTGGTTCCTGCATCAGATATATACAGGAAGCACTCCACACACCCCTTCTTGGGGGGGAGCTAGAAAAGGCCACTGTTTCCACATACATGTTTGAAAGGACCTTGTTTGGGATCATCGGTTGATTCAAGCAGGTCGAAGCCACTGGTGCAACTCGACACATACTATATACAACTTTGCCTGCCTAAAACCGAAGAGTATCATCCGCCAAATTGGAATCTTCAAGGATTTCTCATCAGTTTCCTGGTTTTGCTTAGGGTGATGTTGATTTTCCCGATGGGTGAATCCCCTTCTGGGGAATATGTGCCTGGCATCAGATGTCCAGCCGGGCAGTTGGAGGAGTCTTCGACTTGGTGCTCACATTTGCGAGCTGAAGGGGTTCTCATGTCATTCAACGCATGATCCATCCAGCTAGATGACAGTGTTATTCCAGGCGATGTGGACGGATTTGCATCGCATTGTATGTGGCAAGTTTAAACATGCCGTGCTTTGTCATGTGTTTTGGGTGTAGTTCTTTTAATCTCATGCAGCAGTGCGAGGGCTGCAACATGCACAGTCAGGCCACTGAGTAGCTTCGCAGCCAGCCAGTCATTCCCTTCCCTCGTCTCACCGCATGCCGCGCGGAGCGTGCGCTTGGCGCAGTGTCCCAAGAAACTGGATTGCTCTGGGGACGGAGGTCGGAGGGGTGCTGCAAGCAGCAACCACTGCAGGTCCGATCCAATATGAGGCTGTCGTTGTTGGAGTACAACTCTCAGGGCCACACCTATACCCAGGACGTACGTGGATCACCTGCAAACCCCAAAATAGAGGTTAAGGTTAACCAATGGAAAAAGAATGAAACAGATCCTCCCGTTTTTTGGGTCGAGGGAAACTGAGGGAGGTCTCACTGGGAGTGTTTTTTCCCTTCTCTGAATCTTTCACGTCCGGTCTTCCTGGGCGACGCACCGCCGGGAATCATCGACCCCCACCGCGCGCACCCAAAACCGGCCGCACCGGCTGTACCTCCGCCGGAGAAGCGGCGACGCAAAGCATCGAACCAGATCGAACCCCAAAAAAGATTTTAAAAAAATGCTTGACGAGAACCTTGAGTGCCGTTGTTGTTGTTGTTGTTGTTGCTTCTGTTTTATTTTGTTGTTGTTGTTGTTGCTTCTGTTTTTTTTGCTGTTTGCTGCTGAACCTGCAGAAGGCTGACATAGCCTGACCCGTTTTTGCAGCTATACTTAGTGACCGTTTTTTTAAGGAGGAGTCGTGGCTCGTGACCGGGTGGTGCTGTAGCTTCGGACTCGGCTTTTCGGATCGCGCTCTTTCGTGCAGCGAGCCGACGCTTCGCCGACCGCGGCCGACGGCTGCGTTGGACCAGGCGGCCTCCCAACGCAGGAGACAAATCATCGAGGCGGAGCAACGACTGCGACGACGACGGTCGGAGGGTGTGATGCGATGGTTCCTGCCGGTTCTGGTTTTGGTTATGGAAAGAGGGCAGAACTAGTGAATCATTTTGGAGCGTCAGCAGTTTGGTCAGCAGTTTTTGGAGCGCTAGTTGCTTAGTAGGACTTTGGGGTTCAATAGTTGGTGATGTTTGTTTAAATTGGAGAAGGGGCTTCATAACGTTTGTTGTTCGATGGAACCTTTTATCGCAGGCGGTTTACCGTTCCATGACCGGGAAGGGTTATTCCAATGGATAAGATTTTGAGGGGGTGATTCTCATCATGGCATTGCACTCTCCCTAACTAGCCAGCAAGTCGCTCTTGCGTAGAGAAGGGGGTCCCTTTTCCTTGCACGTGTCACAAAAAAGGCTGCAGAATCCAAAGCACCACAGCCTGGAGCTTTGGAACATAATGGGCCATAACAAATCACACTTCGTCACAATTGGGTGTTCCAGGTAGTGTCAGGTGCTGTCACCCAACATGTGTGGCCATGAAGGTGTCACTGGGAGAGGGTTTGACCTCGGCATCGCTCGCTCACCCAAAAGGGTCCGATCTACCTAGCAGCTTTGCTTCATTGGTGACCCAGACATGGTGGTCCTTCTTTGGGCCAACTCGATTTGGCTTAGGGCCGCTGGCTTTACAGGGTCTTTTGATGTAGGACTGACCTGTGGTGAAGGACTGACCGGTTTGATGGGGTGCACGGGCCTCTATGTTTGTTGGCCACCCTGGAGCTATTACAAAGGAGCTCATATACCAGGACCCTCCTGTTGGGGTGTCCTGGCTGGACTACCCCACACTACCGGCCGTTCGGCTTCCAGACAGGGCACCCCGACTGGAGGGTCCTGGTATATCTTCATGATCAGGAGCTATAGCTCCGCCCCAACATCGGAGACCTATCGCCCACGCACCCCGCTTGTGATCTGTTTGACCTGCTCGTGAGGCCCTGCGCTCGCGGCACGCGCAACTCACGAAGGCACGGCAGCAAGAGGCCGAGAAGGGCAGGAAGGGCAGCTGACGAAGGGGGAGTTCTTCCCCAAACAGTGTGGACACACTTGGGGGTTCTTACCTCACACACACACACTGTTTGGGGTCTCTTGCCGGAAAATTTGTTACTTTTTTGTTGAGTGATTGGTGATGGAAAGTTGGAATGGTCAGTGCTGCTGGTGTTTTTGCAGAACTGCATAGAACTGCATCTTGTGATTGTCGATTGAATGATCCAAATGGGGTTCGCCGGTATGGTGCTTTCTAGGGCAACTTGCTGGTCAAGATCTTGAAACAAGATGACGCTTGCCACACTCCTACGACTCCACAGTCAACTCGGCCAAACTCTAAGGCCGGATTTTGAGACAAATCCGGGAACCATCTACATCCTGGATCGCATGTTTCGACATCCTGGCCTGACGTCGCCAAACGCGCAGGCGACGCATGGACAACCTGCCGCGGTGGAGATTAAGACGATGAAATCCATGGTGACGGAGGAGATGACCCAAGAAGACGGTGTCAACCTGCACCACTTTCAGCACAAAAAGACTTCACCTCAGGTTTCCAGCGTCACCGAGCGTCGCCTTTGTTTGAAGGACGGTATATGTTCCTAATGTATAGGCTCTTGGTGATGTTTCACCATATTTCACCCTCCATATGACGAGGATGTCCAAATTGAGGTGGTTTATCAAGAGCCTACCTGACCTCCAAATCAGATGCTCAGTGATCATGAGTGCCTTCTGTGCTCGTGAGTCGAGTTCTTTCAAGTGGAGCAGCCCCTGGAGCGGTGAGGACGGCAACGATTTCCACATGGTTTCCCAAATCGCCAACAAATGTTTAGCCTGTAGGGGAATGTTGCAGAACTGGGCGTCTCACACAGAGACGTCTCCAGGACGAGTTAGAGAGAGAGAGGAGAGAGAGAGAGAGAGACAGAGAGAGACAGAGAGAGAGAGAGAGAAGAAGTTGTTTGGCCGTTATGCCGACTTGATCCACGGGATTGGCCTGGATTGGCCGGTCACATGCTATGTTCTTCCATCACATGTACCGGATCTTGGGCCGAAGCGCACCAGTCCTCGCACGGACTGACGGGTAGCAGTCCGACGCAGCAGGTCCGACACGAAAAACCAGGACCTGACACGAAATGGCCTGGTGGTGTTTGGGATACTCCGGAATCACCTCTTTACGAGGCTGCTATTTACAGATACCTCTTGGAAGGTCCTGGTAGATGGGATGCGAACTCCGAAAGCCTTCGATGTCGCCTCTCCATCATCCATTCAGATCGATAGGATTCGTTTTCAAACACCGGGATAGATCGACCAAGTAGAAGGCAATAATATGCAATAACTACGATCAACTATCATTCCAAGCTGCTGCTGGATTTGCCCCGCCATGTTAGAGCTCTCCTGGTGCCTTCTCGCGCTGCAGCTGCTTCTCTTCCTCTTCACGCTCCGCCGTGCCGCGCGGCCCGCGCCGCCACCGCCACCGCCGCCCGCACCGGTCGACGTCGAGGCGGCGGTGGCAGAGGCGCCGCGGGCGAAGAAGGGCAACTTGGCGATCGAAGTGGCGTGCATGGCGGGGGATTGAAGCACCAACAATTGGATCCAAATGGGACATTCCAAGAGAGGTTGTGTGATCCTACTTGGGTACATTGGTACTACGGCATAATGAAGTGTTGCCCAGACGCTGCATGGGAATGGATTGACCTACTGAAGCATCCAAATGAAACATGTATCATACGTGTCAGGCTTGAGGCAGCTAGGAGCGAGGGAAAGAGGTGCTCAGTGTCCTTGCCTAGAATCTGAATGACCTCTATTTTGGATTACGAACCACCTTACATAATTCGCATAATTCGGGCCTTTTTCTGATCAGAGGTCAAGCGGTCTCTAGGTAAGTACATATATATATATATATATTTATCTATCATTGGCCTTTTTGTCAAGTTCTTGGTTCGGGTGACCACTGTCGAACAGACTTCGAGTGAGTCTCGAGGCTGGCTTCGCTGCTCGCAGTTTGAGGTTGGGTTCCCAAAATCGTCCTGAACCCGGGGCTCCAACTACATTGTTTTCGAAGGTAGTTAGACTCCCCTGGCACCTCACCCAACCACCCTCTCAACATGTGGTTGGAGCCCCACCTGGAACCCCAAACAACCAGAAAGAAATTGATGTTTCCCCAAACAACCATTTGCTATGTAAAGGATTTCAATTGCCATATTGGAACAACCATTTGTTTCTGGTTGTTTGGGGTTCCAGACAGGGAAGTTCCAATAGGTGGCCGGGTCAGAGGCATCCCTATCATCCATTGACCACCCCTTTCTCCCTTTTGGCTCTTCAGCCTGTTCCCAGCCTGTTCCTGGGCGGTGTCCCGGTCGACCAGGTCTGGAAGATGGGCGTCCGTCGTTTTGCGGTGTCCATCGGAGTGGGATCTCCGTTCAACGCCCCAAACGTCGTCGAAGCGGGTCGAAGCGCAAGGAAAGGGGAAGCGGCAGGCGCGTCTCTGGCTTTGACATTGGAAGGATCGGTGGGTCAGCTGTTGGGTGGAGAAGATCACAACAAATGCATGGCAAACTCCAAAAAGGGAGAGTCTTCACATGTGTTTGACGCTGGGTAAGGAGGCTATCCGTGTGGCCAAGTATCCACCAGGTTCAGACCTTCATGCAGATTCATATTGTGACTGGTGCAAGATTCATGCCGGCTCTTGGAATAGGATTACAAATGTTTGCCCCTTCTTGCCCAAGCTGCGGCGCTGCCAACTTCTTGCAGCCTGCATGTGCTTTAAGCCAGGTGTGCGCCAAAGATGACTTGCACATGTCAACCAGCCTGGATCCTCCCCAGGGCACCGTATGGCGCCGTGGTCGGTGCGGTCGCCTTCGTCGAGTCGTGCAACAGTCGACTCTGTGCCCTGATGCAGGTGGTTCACATTCGACCGGAGGCCCTGGAAGTGGCAAAGGGAAGGGGTATCGCGGAGAGGACATGAAATGACAGGAGATGACGCCTCTCGATACAGAGGAGCCTCTCCCCCAAAAAAACTTGTGTGCACATTTGGACCAGAAACAGTCGTTGGGATTCGCGCCACGCGAGATCCTGAATGGTGCCATATCATGATATCTTTTGAGTTCTGTAGAGCTCCCCCTTTCAAGAGGGATGGTTGCCCCGTGGTTTGTGACCTTGAGTGTCGAGCGTGTGAAAACTTATGACCTCACACTGATCTAATGATGCAACATTTGCTTCAAAGCTCACCAAGAATGCTTCGAAGCACTGAAACTGAAATACCCAGAAATCATCTCAGATCAGGAATGATTGCAACATGACTTAGAGTCTTAGAGTGACTTAGAGTCTTAGTGTCTTAGAGTCTTTCCACCTTTCCGTGATCATACACCTTTCCGTGATTCTTAAGAAGTCTTCGACCATCACTTCGACAGGTGACACGGCGCCGCGCCACCGTCGCACAGGACCGACGTCCTCCTGCAGTTCCGCCCCAGGTGCGCCCCCTGCGCCCCCGCGCCGATGCCCGTGTGGACCCGGCGCAGCTCGTGCTGGTTGCTGGTGCTGAAGCGGCACGTGGAGCGGCAAGGGCTGCGGTGCTGATTTTGCCGGGAGGGAACTATGAGACTTGGTGAGCTAGCTGGGGGAAGACTGAGCGGAATGACTGTGAGCGGGATGACTGTCAGTGCAGACTGGTGCTGGTGACGCTTGGTGTTTCTTTTTGGACAATCTTATTGTTGGTCATATGCAAGTGAATCCTCCTTTTGTTTCCCTTGTTGTCTCTCTTCTTGTTGGTCTTCTTGTGTCCGCCTTCTGTCTCTCATCTTGTCTCCCACCGGTGGGTGGCACGCGATGTCATCAGGGACTGATGGCTTCTTGGTGGTTCCGATCTGGAAGAGCTTGTGTTGTCCATGTATTTAATGCCCCAGGGATCCACATACTCTCTGAGAAGGTACTTGGATCCCTGGGGATGCAAGCTGATGCAACCAACTTAAGGCCGGGAATCACTTCCCCTGGCCATTCTGGCTGTTGCGAGCTGGAGGAGGCGTTTACTATGAAGCCGGGGGGGGTTATCACCCAGCTACGGCAGCCGAGCCGTTCCAAGCTGCTCCTGGAGCTCCCCTGCAACCCCGATCAGCTAGTTTAATCAGGGACATGGGGGGCCTGCAATGCCACTCCCATACACTCCATGGGACTGCCATCTATGCCGCCCCATTGACCCCCCTGGCACCACCCCAATGTATAGGTATGGTATATATGGCAGTCCCATGGAGTGTCTGGGACTTAGATGTCAACAGTTCATGTTAGGTACATGTTAACATACCTGGACCTTCCACAGGGTGCCCTGGCTGGAGATCCAGTCTAGTAGTGGGCTGGGCCGGTGTGGACTTTCAGCCAGGTGACACCGAGTGCGGAAGGTGCTGGTATGTTAACTCTTTGGATGAGGATCATGTCTGACGATGGCAGCGCAGAAGCATCAGGAGTCACATGGAGTTGGGTGAGTGGATCTGACAAGTTCGGCACCCCGACTTCCTTCAAGTTCGGCACTGGAACCATGGATGGCATTGATGAAGGCGATGGGCATGGCACTGGGTACCCCACCCAAAAAAACACCCTCTTCGATCCCTCACTTCTCGCAAGCCTCACCGAGGACAACTGCAACTTGAGGCCGGTCGCAGCGAGGTGGAAACCCCACTTCGGTCGAAACCACCACGCGCGGTGCCGGGGGGAACCGGTGAGCCGGATCCGGACGTGAAGATCTGAAGAATGCTCCCCCTAACCCACCCACCCCGAGAACGCGTGTGGCTTTCCCGGTTCTGGACCCCGAAATTTTTCCGGTTCCGTGTATAGACCCTGGAAGTCGAACCACCATGGTTTTAATAGTCTTTACCGAGCAACCATTGTTTTACTAAGGGTTTTACACTACAAAACCAGATCCTTCCCATTTTAAAAGTAGTCGACTTGACTTCCAGGGTAGAGGTCTATACCAGGCCCCCTAAGGGGTGGTTAATGGATACCTCTTAACCTCTAAGGAGCTAGGTGAAACATCCAACCTCCACTCTTTTCCAAAAACCGATGGGCCACAGCTGGCCAGCCCTCCGCCCATCCCAGCTCATTCGCAGCGAAGCCAACTCGCTACTCGACGTCAGGGGTCCTTTGGAGGTGGCGCTTTGGCTCCAAAGCTTGGGCCTCGCGGCCTACATCTTACGCTCCCGGGCAAGCGAAAGCGGAGCGAACGGACGAGCGGAGCGAACGGACGAGCGAAAGCGAAGCGAAGCGAAGGGACGACGTGTGTGTGGGACTTTTGGAAGAAAGGACCTAAAGAGAAGGACGTCCCTAGAAGTGAGGTTTCAGCTGTTTTTTGGGGACCTCCAAAGCATCGTGGTTAAGGCCTTGAAAGGCTCATCTTTTCCCCCAAAAGACGCACCACTGGAATCACTACCAGGACCCTCCAAGGGGTGTCCATAAAATAAATAGCTTCTGGGAGGTCAAAGGGTCTAGATGGTGGCGGGAGTATCAGTTGTAACCCCCCATGGTGGTGCGGGTATTCTATTACCTCTCTTAATGTATATTCAGGATAAAATTTCCAGGCCATCCATGGGAGTGGAACAGTTAAATACGTATGTGCTCATATCTACTCCATGAAAATGACCCATCCATTCATGCAATTAGCTAATTCCATTCAAGCACCCGACTCTACAGGTGACCGGCCTGTTAGAGGTTGCGGTACATGGAGTTTTTTGGGGGAGAAGGTTTCAATTTGTTCAGGGCATTTAGTATCACTTAGTGGCCGGCAATGGCACATTGAATCGGTTGTTATCGTTTTTTGCTGAACATGTGTTTCTAGTTCTAGACTGAGGTAAGTCTTGTACTGACAGCTGTTCTTGAACCACACCTGCGGCCACATGTGACAACAGCTGGCCACTCCGACATGGTTTTCACCCCACCGCCGAGCTCCGTTCCGTGCCCACCACCAATCCGAAGCCCACCTCGTTCCAGCGACCGGACAGCGGCCGCCGTGAGGCTTTCGGCTCCGGACAGAGGGACATTTCTGGCCGGCACAGCTGGAGGATGGCTTGGAGGCGTTGCGCCTCATCGGCGAGGAGGTGGCAAAACGGCCGAAGCTTGGAAGAAAGTGGACTATTGACTATTTGGTGGATGTGATCCTGGTGATTTGGTGGTTTTTGGTGTCCTTTTAATGTTGCGGTTCGTGAACCTTTGCCCACCCATACCACTGAGCATAGTCACTTCCAGACTACCTCTTGTGGCATGACGCGTGCACCTTAAGGGCTGTGCACATCACCTTTCACAAATTTAACTGCAGGGTGTCCAGAAAAACACATAACCGTGGTTTTCGTTAACCGTTAAACCCGTAAACACACACTGCAGGTGTTGTTTTTCATGGAAACCGCCTGGGACCAGGACTCACTACCAGTATGGAGTCAAGGAACACCATGTCTTCCACTGGCGATGGATGTGGACATTGGTAGTTGCAGCAGTTGCAGACAAACTCATTCGGACACCCACTTACACGATGTAATGCGGAATTTGTGTGTTTAAAGGTTAACTGTTGCTGTATGAGTTCACATTGCACACATATTTTAGTAATATTTTTGGTAGCTAAGGTTTGGTGGATTTTTGCGAGAAAAAAACATTGGTTTATCACTGACTCTTATTTTGTTTAAATTCCGTGATGCAAAACCGGATATTGTGTTTGAACTCCCTTGGGTTTTCACTTCATGCATTGGATGGTTGACAGTCAGATTTCAAGATCTCTCTAAGATCTTTCCCCTAGACTCACGAGACTTATACTTCAACGCCCAAAAATCATTCTGGACCCCCATGGAAATATCAGTGCTGTCCATGTGTTTTCTTCTGATCCCAGTGCATGATAACATCACTCTTAATTAAGCTTAGGCAGCTTGCTTGGAACACGTTCCGTGGAACAAAAAAGGTATTCCCCAGAGACTCCATGGGACTGCCATATTTACCGATCAATTGGGGTGGTGCCAGGGGGGTCAATGGGGCGGCATAGATGGCAGTCCCATGGGTCGTGTCTGGGTTCTGAGGATCGGTGTGTTGGGCTTCTCTGCCGGAGGACATCTGGCCTCGGTGCTCGCCACTCACCACCCGCCCCTGGGCTCTCCTCCGTCGAACGAACGTCACGCCGGTTGGGGAGGTCGAAGCCGGGGTCTGTGCATTGGCAGAAGCCAAGAGAGGTGGAGAGACTTACTCCTTAGAGAATTAACATGGAACCTGAAAACCACAGGGTTGTAGAGGAAAATACTCTTCCAACGTCTTCCAAAGTTCAATTTTTCAGGTTCCATGTTAATATTCCAGGGCGTAAGTCTATGGGAATCCTGTGGGCAGTCTTAAAGGATGCTTCGATACCTAGACCATCCGACTGGACTACTTGCGTATATACATGTATATGCATGAAAACCATGACTTTTTTGTAGGTAACTATTCCACACATGGAGTGCTTGGGATATTCACCTGGAATAGGTAAATGACAAGGTGAAGCCTTCAAACTTGGTGAGACTGTTCCCGGACCTTTTTTTCTGTAGGTGGCTCCTCAAAGAAGAAGTCCTGCAACATGGTGGGAACCCCATGCCCATCTACTGGGCGGATCCTCGAGCTGATTTCAGGGGAGGGCTGCTAAGATGCTGCAAGACCTTCTTCAACAATGGTGCATCTAGTAAATCTGTTTGAAAGCAAGAGAGGTTGAGAGACCGGAACTGGGACCCTGGAGCACTAACGTGGAAGTGGAAAATGGCTCCTTGGAGGACAATTTTCTCCATGAGTGTAGGTAAGATCGGCCTCCTGGAACATGGAGGTCAGTCTCACTCGGAGGTGACGTCGGCATCAACACCTCCCGTCTTCGTGATCCCCGCAACGACGTGTGACGCCGGCACGCGTGGAGGCCAAGGTTTTTGGGTGACACTGACTCCCAAAGAACACGGTGAACCCACACCGTTGGATCGATTCCTTGCGTTCGTTTTGGAATCTTGAGGCATTTGCTGGCCTTTCATATCCTCATTTATGGCTCGACTGATGTGGTGCTTGGGCTGCAACTGCCTTACCTGCCCAGGGCAGGCTCTTTTTCTTGACACGAGACCCATTTGCCAGCTCACAGTTGTTCATCCCCTCTCACCTGTTGGTAGAGTATGTTCCATTACCAGTAACAGTCGGTAAAAGATTACGTAATATAATATTATATGCACAAGTTTTGAGACGTCGGAATCATCCGCGGCCCTGGAAATGAGAGATGCAGGCAGATTAACGCTTTGGAAGGCGGATTTCCTCTACAACCCAGTGGTTTTCAGCTTCCCCTGTGGGGTCTCTTCCAGGTCTCCTCCATGAGAGACGATGAGCTTCGGCCAGGAAACGCCTGCTTGGGATCCATGGCTCACACGTTTGGGCTACCCGGGCATTGACTTCAACACGGTGAAAGCGGTGAATGCCCAGACGCCTCCATTGTTTGCGGCCGTGAGCACGGAGGATGAGATCGCCTCCTACGACGCTTGGGCCGAAGAAGACCAATGGGGATATCATTACGCTTCAGGGAGGTTGGACCGCACAACCCCCAAGAGGTCTTTTAGATGGAGTTCATAGATATGAACCAACGACATTGGGCTCTGTGCCATTGGTCCGGAAACAATCCACTTTTCTCTCCAGGGTGGCAGGTTGTGGAGGCTAGTGTTGTACTTGTAGACCATTCAGTTGTCAAATCACAAGCGCTGAGAGAACAAGGGCAAACAATTTAAAACACGGCTCTCCCCATGTTTTCACAATGTCCCACTCTCTTACACAATGCTACAGCGATTGAAGGAGTAGATGTGGGTCAGAAAGGCTTTCTTGTTGTTTCTTAGGTATTTGGGTCGAAACAATTTCATTGCACTATCAACGAAGGTGAACTTATACTACAGAGGATCCATCACGATAGGGTGTCAGTTCATCACTGCACCCGTACGACCAGCGACTGGGTACCAGTTGACCTCTAGGGCTCCAAGTAACCTCCAAAGAAGGCCCACCCAAACGTCCCACCAAAACGAAGACACGGCGGCTCCAGCCGTCCGGGTCTGTGAGCTTAGGGCCGAGCGTGTCTCCGGGCACAGGAGGAGAACACGCGGCCCTACGTGGACGCCTGTCACGTGGACGAACGGGCTGGGTCGGTTCCAGTGTGAAGCAGGCGTTGGGAGTTCATGGCTTGCCTCCAAGAAAGATCGTCATGTCTGGGAAGTGGGTAGAAGATGGTAAAAAATTCCCAACACATGTAATGGAAAGCTCAGTTTTTATATTATGTTTAAAACTGGTTCATATATCTACTCCATGTATGCTTATCGTTATATAATCTGGCTGACCCACATGGAACTCCAAAAGCGCGGCCGGATTGGTCTTCAGAACATGGGAAGCAAACCACGGGTCAATTTGAAAAGGGTCCATGTGGTCTGCATTGCGGGGGGAAGTGGTTGTTGAAGAATAAGACCAATTTTGGGAGGAATTGCTCATGAAGTCCACCATGAACTTCATGAGTTAGAGGATGACTTGACTAGAGGTATCATTGCTGCTTCCATTTTACAGTTATACACCTTTCTCAAACATAATATTACAGATGGGGACGTTCTCCAAGATTGATCGATCCAAACCAGTTGCCCATTTGGTGGGTGAAAACTGAGAAATCCAAAGATAGAATTGTCACTCAGAATCCAGGACCCTCTGCTCGGTGAAGGTTTTCAGGGTCCATCCCCTGCTAGACCAGGGTCAAAACCCTCCAGTTCGGAGGGTCCAATGATGGTTAGCTAGGGTTGCAGTAGTCCAATCATTCCATATATAGTTTGGGTGGGGTTGCGGCTGCAATACTCATGCTTCGCCAGGTTTCACCCACATCTGTTTCAGATTGCACAGTTGTTTAAATCCTCAGAGGCACACCACTTTGATTTGAGCGACTGTGATTCATTGTTTGGGCGAGAATGGCAAAGCCGAAAAATAGAAACGAAGCACGCGCTTTAGGACGATCGAATCTAAGATCTGGAACTGTACTTTCAGGATCCCCCATGATTGGTCCTCTATAAAATGAGCATCTGTTTCCACTATGAAATGGGATAAGGAGGTTCACTTTATAGAAATGGTCCGTTCCGATAACGGACATAAGAGGAGGCAACATCATTTCATAGAGTAGAGGGGGGGATTGGTGGAAAGGACCATGACAGAGAGAGGCAATGCATTTTAAGAAAGAGACACGTGTCGGCAGATGAATGCCTCTCATTCAGGAGCATATCCATTTTATAGAGAACATATGGTTTTACACAGATGTCTTAGACAAAATGCTCAAAACAGTTGCCTGCTTTGGGTGATATTGTTTCGCTGGCTCGAAGACGCAAGCCTGGACAAATCAGACTGGAGAACATTTTGTTATATGTTGTTAAGAAAAACAACTAACAATAAAAACAAAAAAAACATATGGATGGTTCTAAGAAGAAGACTGCAGGAGCGACGAACAAAAAGGATAGAGATAAAACATGAAAAGTGAAGCATACGCTGACCAAACCTGCTGTGGCAAAGTCATTTTATAGAAGTCAGCTGCTTCAAATGATATGAGGATATCAACTCAAGGTCAACCCATCTAAAAAAGATCCCAGGCTTGGCCTCTAACCTCTTTGTCGTGGATGGGCCTGGACATGGCTATCCATTTTATAGAAAGGTTGGTTCTTCATTTTATAGAGAAATATGATGGTCATATCATTTTATAGACGGTATTCTCTATAAGATGGAGTTCTGGCAGGATGTTGCCCCAGTCAAGGGGGATCTTTCAGGTATAAATCGGTATAAACTGCTGCATTCTGACAGAGGCCATTCTCCACCCAATCGCTATAGGTAGTTCATAGAGACTCCCCCTGGATGTTGATCCGCTAAATCAGGGAGTCATCGAATCGACCCCCCCAAAAGAGGCCACCGCTCGGTGTTGTTCCATCGCCCGCCTGGGTCGTTCGGCCCACTTCGGCTGCACCGCGCGCAGCGCCGCGCAGCATGCACACATGCACAGCGCTCTTAGGCCGGCGGTGCCGGGTGCCAGTGGAGGTGGTGCTGGCGAAGATGGGATCGCATGGGCATGGGAACCTCGGTACAGGAAGTTGCAAGTAGTGCGAGTAGTGGAGAAGGACACTGGAGGACCAGGACCTGGAGGCCTCCGGAGGTTTTGCATAATTCTCCAAATTGACAAGGCCTCAAGAGGGTCCTTCGTTGACCCCTGCTATGGGTTCGAAGGATTCTTGGGTCATGGTGATTGGAGGGGCCGCTTTTGACCTATATCTTTGGACCCCCTATCCTACAATAGGGAGCCTAGCCGCACTTGAAATCTTAAGAAAGATCACATGTCCAATTGGGATGTGCCACCACTGCTCACCGCTGGCAAAGCACTTTGTGCGACCGGTTTGAAGGTCAGTCTTCCATCTATCACCCTCTCCCAAGGATGGTGGATTTGTGGACCAAGCCCTGTGAAGCGTGGTTGCGCGCCCACCACTGGGCTCCGAAAAAAAGGAAAAGAAGTAAATGAACACACGGCCGCTCCGAGTCAGGATTTACATGGAGTTACCTTTCACTCCTGTTCAACCAGCTGATATAATATATATATAATATATATTATTATGTAATTATGTTCCTTCATGAGTGTGTTTTGGGTATGGATGAGTTCCGTGCTCCGGACGAACTTGGGCAAGCGGACATAGTACTCCTTGGTGTTCTTTCAACAAGTGCTGCTTGGTTATACCATGATTCCGATGGACAGACTATCCCTTGGGAGGCTTTTTTGGGGTCAAAGCGGTTGGAGAACATGCACCGCCTCTAACCACGCCACACCCAACATTCATTGATGTCAAGATGACGCAAGCATAGATTGTTCGAACACAGAGGAGACTGCATCCAAAAAGGTACTCGCACCTGGACCTTCAAGGGTGTCCAATGGAAGTCCCTAAGTAGGGTAGGGGCTTCCATTGGTAACCCCTTTGAAGGTGCTGGTAGGTGTCATATAATACAAATTAACTTGAATATACTTGAAACTTGAATGCTCATTGCTGTGATGCCCACCTACTTGAGGATGACGATATCCTTTATATGTATATCACGCCAAGAGAAATACCTCGCAAAAGGCCGCGCTTTGATTCGAGCGTTCTTGGCTGCGGCCGAAGACACCCCACAGACCTGGCAGGGGACGAAGGTGCTCGGGATCGTCCCAAGCCTGTCCGTCTGAGCGGTCGAAGCTAAGACGGAAGGGTGAGACCAACTTCACAAGCACCACCCTAAGCACCACCCTACCCCCAAAACGCGACCAATGGGACTACCATAGGACTGCCGATCAGTTGGGGTGGTGCCAGGGGGGTCAATGTAGGCATATATTCCATACATGGAGTGTTGGGGTACTGCCCTACAGCGGAAAAAAGAAGACACACGAAAGGCACCGTCAGCATGGCTCGCACGTCAGCACATCACCACAACCCTCCGTCACTCCTCCATGTTCTTTCGCAGCCCTCCGTGTTGGATTTTCGCAGCCCTCCGCACGTTGCACCTGTTTGGCCAGCCCGTGTTGATTCTCCGGACAGAACCCGCCCACCCTTTCGGTGCACTGCAGCGAACGAACGACCAGCTGTCCTGATCGAACCGTCGACCGCCTTTTCGTGGCCTTTGGGATGGCCTTTCCCCTTGTCGTTGGAGCGTCCGAGCGTCCAGATGCCGAAGACGTGAGTTCGGATCGAAGCCGTTGGCGCGCGGCCGTCTTTGCGCGCGGCGAGAAAAAGGGCTAAGGCGCCAAGGGAGGTGTGGGATTTCTTCAGGAGGTTTGAGGAGGTCGCAACTCTTCTTTTTCACCACCTGCCAGGTGAGGGTTGTTAGATTTTATCACAGTTGTTCTTCCTCCTCCTTCCTTCCTCCTTCCTCCTTGCTTCCTTCCTCGCCAATCTTCATCGCCAATCTGCTTCGCCGATCTTGTCTGGCCAGCTCCGGATCGCAGTGTGCACCCCTGGACCTCAACCGCAAGGATCCCCTCGCAGTGTGCACACCTGGACCTCAACCGCAAGGATCCGATCGCAGTGTGCATCCCTGGACCTCAACCGCAAGGATCCGATCGCAGTGTGCACCCCTGGACCTCAACCGCAAGGATCCGAGCGCGTTGTGCACCCCTGGACCTCAACCGCAAGGATCCCCTCGCAGTGTGCACCGCTGGACCTCAACCAGATAGTTTGCCAGAAAAAAATGCCACATAGAATGCCAGGTAGATTGCCAGATAGAATGCTGCAAGAAGATATGCCAGATAGTATGCCAAATAGTGTGTCAGATAGATTGCTAGATACATTGCCAGATAGAATGCCAGAAACTATGCCAGATAGAATGCCAGAAGATATGCCAGATTGACAGATAGTATGCCAGACAAAATGCCAGATAGTATGCCAGACAGTATGCCAGATAGTTTGCCAGATAAAATGCCAGATAGAATGGCAGGTTGATTGCCAGATAGAATGCTGCAAGAAGATATGCCAAATAGTGTGTCAGATAGATTGCTAGATACATTGCCAGATAGAATGCCAGAAGATATGCCAGATAGAATGACAGATAGTATGCCAGACAAAATGCCAGATAGCATGCCAGACAGTATGTCAGATAGTATGTCAGATAGATTGCCAGATAGAATGGCAGATTGAATGTCATGGTGGGGATCACTCGAAGTAAAGTAATTTTGACATTTGGTGAACTTGTGCTTTCGGGAGTATGGATCTATAGCTTCAGTGGCTGGAGCACTTTCGATCCAAGGTATACCGGACTTGGGGTGTAAGTAATGGGTGGACTATCCCAGACAACACGTAGGTGTCCATTGAACACCCAGGTCTTTGACCCATGTCATCCATGTACATGGTCACCTCTTTCGGCCATCAACTGATGGATCAATCATGCCACTCCCGTTGTTTGCGTTTCGCTCGCAGGAACGCTACTGGCTCCGGCCCCTGTTGCTCTCCGTTCATTCCATGCGGCAGGCCGTGGTGCGGAGCCCCAGCTGGTTGGAAATACGCTCCAGCTGTTGACTGTGACAGCTGGTTGGAGATCGGGGTCGGATGCCCCAGCTGTTCAAGAAGTTTGGGGGTCGGATGGAGGAGGATGAGCGCATGGAGGAAATGACACCTTCCAACCACCCAAGGCACCGTGACCTACCGTGGGTCTTAACATCTCTTGACCTATTCCAGAGCCCCCTAAAAGGGGTTAATGGACACCCCGAATCACCTCTAAGGAGCTATACTTAGACACCCCGTAGGGGGCTCTGGTTTGAGGTGGTGGCTTTTGATGGTTGTTCCATCCAGCATGGGGCCCGGCGATGCTTTTATGGTCTGGTGCTTGCCTCAGCTCGGCCAGCGACGCTCCGTTTCCGGGGCTTCGGCTGAGTGGACACGAGCAGAGCCCAAGAAGACATGGAAGTGACACTCCATGCTGGCCAGCATGTATCGAATAATGACCATGAATGACCTATACCTAGCACTTCCTGTCCGGGTGCCCTGGAGTAGGAGACCTGTTTACGTAGGGTATAGGGTGGTCTAGCCAGGACACCCAGACAGGATGACCCTGGTAGATGGATGGGTCATTTTAATGAGGTACATGTTTGCAACTATTCCAATCCCATGGAGCGTCGGCCATCGTCGGCGGTCGATGCCGCGCCAGGCCTTTCGTGCGCAAGTGATGCTTTGGCGGTTCCTCTCCTGGCTTACGGATCCTGAGGCCCTACACCAGGGTGTTTTCTGAAAAGCTGGGAAGAAAGACGCGGACATAAACAGCTTTTCTGTTGCTTCGTGCCATGATGTGAAGTTAGATTGAAATGATGTGTTTCATTATTTAGGGTCGGGGGGGTTGACAGCGGCTAGTTGTGCATTTTGCACCTAAGACTATACGCGAATTGGCATGGAGTGGTTGACCATAGGGCTCTGCGGCTTTCTCGACCAACCGTGTCGCAACTCACCCTTTTGATGTGTTCAGGCCCTTTTTGAGCCAGTACAGCTTGGCAAGACTACCAAGAGAGGTTGAGAGACCTGAACTAGGACCGCATAGTGGTACGTATGGGATGGGCTATAAGGCTGTTCAACCTCTCTTGGTAGATATACTTGGCCATCTTGGCTCCGATCACATGGTTACGTCGATGGCATGGCGTTGGTTCTGAGGGACAGGAGAGAACCGACCAACTCCATCATTGCTGGGGTGTCCCAGTCTCAACCAGAAACAGTTCTGGTTGGAACCCAGTATGGCATTCTTGAGATCCTGAAAACATAGGGGGGGTGGCTAGAACTTGGGAAACATCCAGACTTTTTTCTGATTGGGACTGGGTTGCCTGTTTCTGCTGGGTTGTTATCCCCACCTTCAACCTTTGAAGAGCCAAGTTGGACGAAATCTGGTGGAAGCCACCCGCCAATTTCTGGTCAGACAACTGCATAGAAATCGAAGCCCAAATTATTAACATACTTTTCTAGGTCCAAAAAGTTAAGCAAATACATACCTCGACATACCTCGACCCAGAATAACCCAAACATGACCCCTGTTTGAACAGAAAAGACCAGAAGTTGGGGGTGGTGATCCCAAATCAAGGTCGCTCCAGGTAGATCATGGGGATCAAATCTCCCTTCAAATCTTGGGTTCTTTGGCCCGGACGCTGACATATTGACCTAGATTTTTACCCTTTCAACCACTCCAATGTATGTAGATATTCCATATACTACATGGAGTGTTTGGGTCTGGATGCATCCCTTTCTCCGGACATACTCCCAGGAGGAGGTGTTAGGGCTTGGGGCTTGGACCCACCTAGAAGGAGTAAAGATGGAGACCTCCCAGGCATTGCAGCGCCCTGGAAGAAGGAAAACATACCAAAGCGATTCTGGGGTTCTCCCTGAGGACCCTCCTGGCCAGGCTGTTTTGGGACCACAGGTGGTGAACCTGGGCACCAGACTTGTCACCCCCGGAAACAGGAAACATCAGGAAGCATCTGCTGGAGGGGTGCTGGTATGGAGTGCCTGGGTTAGGAAGCTGCGGTCGCCGAAACTCGGTGCTCCCCCAGGCGTGGCTGGAGCCGTCCGGGCGCCGAAGGAGGGCGGCCAAGAGAGGTTGAGAGACCTGAACTGGGGCCCTGTATACAGTACATATGGGATAGGCTATAGGGCTGTTCAACCTCTTTGGGCTAGCGTGTTTGGGGCACGGGTTGGTGAAAAGATTTGCCAGATGATTCCCTTGAATTGGTTGAAGGGAGCATTTGCAGGACGATAGATTTGGGGATGTTTTGGCCATGGTTTCCAAGTCCATGAGCTCTGTTTTTCGACTTCCAACAGGATGGTAAGAGATCGGAAGGCATGGTTCGACGATGTGCGATTCTCTTCTCTATGGATCCGCATACCTTCTCAGAAGGTATGACTGGGCCCTCCTGGCGACTACTTCAATAGTCTCACCTTCTCAGGTTCGGTGTGTGGATCCACAGGGCTTCAATGTCTCAGGTGATTTACAAAGAGCTTTTCCTGATGCGACCGGAACTCGCTCGAGTCGCGCGTGTGCGCGCGGGTCCTGGTGTGCTGAGCATGGGCTCCAGGTACTTTTCGGGTAGGGCGGGTCAGGTGAGCAGCGCGGCCGAGGATGTTCTTGGGCAATTTGGAGGTGGCCTCCTTCTATGGTGCAGGAGCTGCAGTTCAGAGTGCTCGCACAGAGTGATGAAGGGCCCCAAGCCTCCTTTTCAGCTTCCAAAAGCCCCCCCAAGGCTTAAAGTTAAAGGTTGGAATGGGTCTGGAAACGGGGCCTTTCGTTTGTTTCGCCAGCTCCTCTTCCCAACACACCCAGATCTTAACGGCCCGATCGGGCCGGTGGACCGGTAGCGATCGGCGGCCTCGACACCTGGTGTGAGATCCACATGGAACCTGACAAAATAGATACCACCA